GGGGCTGTCCCGCCACAGCCCCAAGCGCCGCCCGGGCCCGCCAGGAGAACAAAGGCAACGCGGCACGACCGGGGGTTCCTGCCAGCTGTCAGCACCGTGGTTTAATCAAAGTCCGCTAAAATGACAGACGCGAAGTATTTTCATGAGTTCAAAAGCACTGAGAGTTTATACATTTGATACAGCACCATAAAAGAGTGTAAGAAAATGAGAACCACCACGAACAATGAAAAGCAACGACACTGAATAAGCATTATAGAGAACACATTATTTGCGAATCACTAACTCACTGTATTTAAAGTTCTTGCAATAATTAGTGGGATTTAAATTTTGAAGTCAACAGAATCTTCCATATAAAAAAGTTCTTTTGTTCAGTAACATGATCCGGGAAGCTGAAATACACGACACACATCTAACCTAATGGCTCAAAAAGTGTGGAAAGCAAATAATCAAATACAAATATTCCAAATACGCCAAATACAAAATACTTCCAAACCCAATCTCGTGATTTTGTATAGCTTCTAGTTAGAACGGTGTTCCTGAAGCAGATGAACCTTGCAGATATCAGTGCAATGAATAACTGAACTCGATACACTTACTGCGTGTCTCGGAGAAAAAAAAAATCATATTGGCATACTTCTGATTACTACAGTTAATTTCTCTCATTCAAGATCGCGATGAAATGCTCGAGCTATAGGGTTAAAGACGCCTGAAGTCTCCGGCAGTACGGGACCAGCTGCACTCACGCTCTCAGCTCACCCCAGCGCAGCAGCCAGAGCACTGACCTTCCACTTACACACTTCACGTAAAAATACCAAACTGTCTTCCCTTCAATAGGAACAACACACTGTCCTTGACATGTGCAGGCATTCCTTTTGGCCTTCCAACTTCTAGACAGACTCCACTCATTACCTATTTTTTCTACTACTTAATATCTTCTTGTTTTAGCATGCTGATCACGTGGAAGCCAATACCCTACTTGTGTTCCTGCTAAGGTAAAATGAGACCAGCTACTCCTGCATGTTTCCATTTCTGCTATTAAAAAGAAAATACGTTAGTCCCTTATATATGAAATCCAACCTAAGCCAAACTTGAATATATTCCTCACCAGACACTGTGGGGTGCTTTTACTAAGGAATTATTTGGCTTCGTAACATTCCTATGGGGTATTCTTTTCATTCCCAGTTTAGAGGTCAGAAATAACGCAAGTCAAAATGAGACAGTTATTCAGGAGGCAACAAGCAGGTCTTCTGTATCACAGGGCTCTGCTCCCTTACAAGAGACCACCTCTCCTGCACAGGACACAATGCTATTCTATACAATCACACACACTTCTTAAGCCCTCTTATTTGTTTTTTTGGCTTTTTGTAAATGTCTTTTTTCCACTTCTTGTCACTGTCCCCTGGAACAGCTTTCTCTCCAGAGCTCAACTGTGCCATTCCACCCGTGTGTCATCACCAAGAGCTGGGTTTTAAAAGAACCAGCATTCCCCCCCTCTCAGTTATACCCATACGAGCAAAATCAACTTTCCCCATATAAACCAATTCTTATTAGTGCTTCGTTAACTATATTATTGCTACCATTTTAAGCCAGCCAGGATGAATGTGTTCAAAATAGGAAACCAGCAATTCTACTACAGACATTCATTCTCTATACAACGGACTAATAAAATACAGTCGGGACACCATCAGGTTGTCCTTTTCAATGACTACATAGAAGATTCAGCGTTTCAAAACGACAAAAATGGTCTTGCCTCCAACAAAGAAATATACACTAGCTGGTTGACTGCATTCAGCCAATTTTAAACCCTAGCTTTAAAAATCAAATGCAAAGACCCTTGCATGCCTTGAAGCTGGTAACACCAAATCTCACTTACCAAGAAATGTTTTATACATGAATTATATCTATACAAAACTTGCATTAGACAATCTTACATTACAAATTTACAATCAATGCAGAAAGAAATGTAAACGCCACCACTAATTTATGGGTAATTTCAGCCTGATAACTATCACAATCTAAATGACCTCACCCTTATTTTTATCCGTGCAAGTATCCACTCAGAAATACAGCTACAGAATGAATCATAAAAATTCACTTCTAAAGATTATAATGGCAGGACAGCACTAGCTAATCTGAACAGATGTGTGAAATCATTTGAAAGTAGTAAGTTAATAAAATTTTAGTACTGTGCCAGCGTTTTATGCCAGCATATAGAAGTTTTAAATTTACAGAATTAAAATACCTGTCTTCAAATTACTAGTGGTGGAAAGCTAATTATAAATACACAGAATTATAATAATACAATTAAAAACTAACAGAGGCTTGCTCTAAATGAGGTTGGTGACATACATCATTTCAGTGAGAGCTAAATTAGGGTTTTAGATATGAAAGTCACACTCTTTGTACGTTCTCAGCTGGATCACTCTACGAATTCCCTTACAATTACTCCTTAAAACATGACCCAATCTACACACAAGCAACGTGTGTTTCCTTGGTGCGTTAAAAGATAGGAACTGAAGGTAAATACAGGAGACAAAAATCATGCGGGAGTTCTGTAGGAAATGTGTGGAAGAGAGGGTTGTTGGATAGTCCCACAGACAGGAGTTGCAATTAAACACTGAACAAAGAAAGCGAATGATGAGGTCGGACAGGTACCCCAAGAGAAAAACAGGACAATTTTAAAAGCTTATCAAGAGTTATGAGGTGGCAAATGCAGGCTGGTATGTGAACTTGGAGGCGTCCATGCCTGGGAATTTTTGGAACACCCTTATCTTTGGCAGGCTGGTGCAATTTGCTAAACATCAGCACAATGACCTGGTGCCACAGAGGGTAATATGAGCTGGATATGCAGTTGAGATCAGTGTGGCATTACTTAAGCATGGAACTAGATGTTGGCTTTCTCTGCCTCTTTTTAAACTTGAGAGCTGCTCTTGTGCATCAGATGTGAAAGTATGGGATGACCATCAGAACTGCTATCACAACATGCAACTACTCCCACTGTCCCTCCCCCCCAAAATCTGATCCATCACACTGTAAATGTGATTATTCCTACTGAAACCCCTAGGGAAGGAAATTCACAACACCAAGCTGTTATACATGCTTTGCTGATATAAAGAGAAAAACATTAGAATTGTATAATTGCTGTTGAAATTGTATTTAATATCACATTTTAGTGACTGGAAATAAATTCCAGTTCTAACAAATTGATTACAGGGAAAGTAATCAAGCTGTCTCATGTATCTGAAGATGACTTAAAAGATCTTTTTCATTTCCAAACCTCATTAAACAATCGGTGCATTTATGGGGCAAGTCTGCTGAATGTCTGAAATCCAAATGAGTTTTAAGGTCTTCAATCTGTCCTGTTGAATATTCACAGTATTGACATAAATAAATCCCTTCAGATAAATGAGAGCTTAAATGCTTGCAATATTCCAACATACCTGAAAAGCCCTTCCCACAGTCATCACAAACATGAGGGAATATTTTGGTGTGTTCAATCGCTACGTGCCTGTTGACATTTGTATGCAGCCTGCTCCTAAAGCCGCACACTTGGCATACAAAGAAGTTTTTGCATTTGTCAAAACTGATTTTGTTTATGAGACTGTACTGTCCGCGCTCCTTGTTATTATAGCTGTCACTTAACTCTATCAGTCGACATGCATGTTCGTTCACCACATGGCTGTGCAGATCTTCTGGATCATTTGTTTCATGCTCGCAGAACTGACACAAATACTGCTCATCACAGCTGTGTTCCTGGAAGTGCAGGTACAACTCGCTGCTGGAGGAGAACTGCATATCGCACTGCTCACACCAATAAAGGTGGTCATTGAAGTGGGTGTCTGCTATGTGCTGACTCAGATTCTCAAATATCACTGTTTTGTAATCGCAGTATTTACAGATGTATGGATCCTCCTCGTGTAGCTTTACATGTTCAATGAGCTGCACTTTGCTGGAGAAGGTTTCTTTACAAACTTTACAGACATGAGTGTCTGTACACGTCTTATGCTTCAGGATCATGTGCTGCTTTAAATCAGAAAAGTACTTGCTATTAAACTCACAGAGCTCACACTTGTATAAGCCACTGCTGTTGGCTCTCAGCAAAGGCCATTTCTGTTGAGCTGTGATATTCAAAGCCTGGTTCTTCTCAAAGATTTTACAGGTTTCCAGAGGGATTTCTTCTAGGTCCTCAGCTT